TGTTTGTGTACAAGCAGTTCATGATTTATTCGTTCCTAAGTGGAACGTGCGTAAGGAGCAGTATACTTGTGATGACTGAGGAATTCTATATCCCTACATCTGATGCTTTGATTTACAACAGTGATGAAGGAGCAGGGGATATAATTAAGTAGCACAGCGCCTGCCCTGCAAGTGTGAGGTCCTGACTTCCATTCCCAGTACTATTCTAAAGTCTGTTCTAAAACAATAATGAAGTAAAATAAACAGTGATCCCTTCTTAAGGATGTTTTAAGAATGCCCTAAAATAAGGAAAACCTAACAGGATTTCGGAGGAAAAAACCCTATCTCCTTAAGTGAGAGTGAGCTTGTCAGTGCCGAAGCAGTGGAAGCAGGCTGCTCTCTCGCTGAAGGATTTGGCTTTTCGTTGGTCATTAGGAAATGACAGACATCATTGAGTTGGACCCTGGTACCATTTTGAGCCAGCTTGGCTTTAGGGTGTTGGGAGGACTTCCTCTGACCTGCCGGTTTGTCGATTTGTCCTTGTTAATGTTTCAGTGTCTGGTTCCTTAGGCGGAGCCTGGCTCTCGGCTTTGCATTTCAGTTTAATCCAGCAAATGTTTACTGAGTCCTTATGCCATATAAGGTTACAGGGGATAAACACTTGAGGAGAAAAAACCCACCACCCTCTTGTTTCTGAGGAGCTCGTGACTAGGGAGAGGGAAGGATGCGAAGAAGTTAAAAGCTCATGATTGTTCAAAGGACATTAAGAAGAAGAGGGACCTCTGAGAAATCAAGCTCATTCTGTTAGGTGTGCAGGAAACGCCATCCCATGGGGGGTGGGAGTGAAGAAAGGCTTTATGGAGGTGTTTGATTTTGTCAGCACCTTGAAGGACAGGCTCACGTTCTCGGCAAAATAAAGAGGGCTGTGCAGAGGAGGTGGAGGTGGAAGGGCATAGGGCCTCGTGTGGGACTCGGTTGACAGACTGGTCGAGGCTCATAGCTGGAGTTTTCTGGAGTGTGGCAGGTGCCAGGTATAGCTCTAAATGCCTTATATTTATTATCATTTAATCCACACATTCAGGTGGCGCAGGGACCTGGGCTGCCAACTGTGAGGCTGTCCTGCCTAGGGGTGGGGGAGGATGGAACAGTAGGACCGGAAATGTGGGCAGAGACCATATGTTTGGAGGTGTAGATGTCGACACCGAGGGGTGCAGGGGAGGAAGAGAGCGGAGATGGTGATGAGATGGAGCTGAGAGGTGAGGGTGAGGACTCCGGTGAGAGCTACGAGGGCTACAGGAGAGCTTCCAGGGGTGTTTGCCAGCGCGGCCAGGGCTGCAGGGGGTGCAGGGAGGGACATCCGGGAGGCCATCTGGCCCGAGGAGAGAGCTGAAAGGGCCACAGGGCCTCCCCTGACCTGTGGCGCTGCGCACTGTGGGGGAGGACAGGCTTGGAGCTCCCGTGGGCTGTCGCCTCCTCTGGAGAAGGAGGGGGCAGGTGAGAGCCCGCTCTGCTAATTTGGCAGACCGGGCGGCTATTCTGCAGCCTAATGACTTTCGAAAGCTGTTTTTTGTGCTGCGACACAAGTGTGACTTCCCCCACCTGAATGCTGTGGCAATCGTTATTTTTCCTGGAAAATTGGGCCCATGTGGGCTCTGTGTGTGGTTTATGTGAGTTCCATTTTTACAGCCTATTACCTTGTCCCCATGATGTAAGAAGCCTCTCTCTCTCCTCGGCTTTGCTGCGAAAATTGTTTCTTAAAAGGCACAAAGTGTCTCTCCTCGTTCGGGTGGTGCTCTCTGCAGCAGCACTTTTCCGCAGACTCCGCACACACTCCTCGTCACCGCTGCCACCACTTGTCGCGCTTCTCTGATCGCCTGGCAATTTACTGGGAACTCTTAGGCAGCTCTTGAGTCTCACTACCTAAGGGTTGGCCGATTTCTGCCGGAAGGGTTTGTACATGTAAATATCCATTCAGCCGCTTCCTCTCCGAAGTGTCGCCCTACCAGTGACCCTGCCAGGGCCTCAAAGTTAGTCTGACCCACTGGCCTTGAGTTGATAATAACAATAATTAGCATAGGGAGCCTGAGCTTCCTAAATTAGGTGTATTAAAATTATTCCAGCACTGATGGGGTTGTGGTTGGAAACAAGGGGCTAGAGGTGGCTGAAAGGAGAAGGACTGGAGAAGGTTATGGCTAGAGCTGCAGGGAGAGCTGCAGAGACTTGAGCTAAGGAGAGGCATGAGTGATTGTATTTGTATGCACCCGCTCCAGCTGACAGCACCAGTGAGCTGAAAGAGAGGGATTAGATCTAAGGACATTAGGCAGACAAGACTTGGTGGCCAGGTGGAGGCTGGAAGGTTCCCTGGCACCGGCACAGGGATGTCTTCTGGAAGGCTGGCTGCAGTTTTGGACACTGGTAATTAAATGATGGTGTGTTCCACATTTTATGGCTTCACGTGGTACCCTAGCTGGAAAGGAAAGTGGTGGGGTTGCATTTCCCTCCTTATAAAAAGTCTCCTTTCTATGAAAAATCAGATACTAGAAGATCATGCCAGGACTGCCAGCCGAGGAAGGAGGATGGGGGTGGATGGTGGCCTAGAGACCCCCCTGCTCTACAGCCTGTCCCAGCGCCTGTAGGTGTATTTTGGAAATGCCCAGCTCTGCTGTCATCCTTATGAGGGATTCGAACAAAGAAATGACATGATGAAATTCATATTGTCACAGATTTCTTCCTTTGTTGATAGACTATGGGGGGAGGTAGGAGCAACAGCAAGGGTAGAGGCAGGGAGCCCATTAGGCTGTTGCAACAATCTAGGGTGGTGATGGTGGAGATGGTGCAGAGCGCTCACATTCTTGATACATTTTGGAGGTGAAAACCAGTTGTGGTGAGGATCGGACATGGAATGTGAGTGAAAGACAGGAGTGAGAGCAACGCTTGCTCTTTTGACCTGGGCAACTGGAAGAATGGTGTCTGAAACTGAGATGGATGAGATCCTGGGGGGAGCTGTTCTGGGGCAAGGTCAGGGGTCTGCATTGCACAGATGTTTTGAGATAGTACTCTGGCCTCCACAGCACTTCTGTCTGGTTGATTTCTGATATGACACCGGCAGTTGGATCTTCCGGTCAGGAGCTCAGGGGAGAGGTCCAGGCTTGGAGAGTAATCTGGGTGTGAGCATTGTCAGCACTGAATCTATGAACTAGGTGAGATCACTGAGGCAGTGATAGGAGAAAGGTAGAACAGAGGTAAGCCCGGGGTCTCCACATTGAAGGGGGAGAGGCAGAAGTGAAGAGGAGGAGTGGCCGGTGATGTGGGTAGGAAACTGAAAGAGTACTATCCCTAAAGCCAGACAAAGAGAGTAGCTGAGCAAGAGGGAATGATTAACTGCTGCCCCATGCTGCAAGGTGAGGTGTAAAACATGTGCAGTGGATCTAGCAACATGGAGAACAAGGCAGATACATGCACTGAGGCCTAAGCCTCACTTTGCAGATGATTCATAGTTCCTGTCCTGAAGGAGAATATAATTGTGCAAGGGAGGGAGAGGGAGAGAAATAGAGAGGTAAAAATCATTTCAACTGGGTATGGTGGTACATGCCTATACTTCCAGCCTTCTGGGAGGCTGGGGCAGGAGTATCACAAGTTTGAGACCAGCAAGAAAACTTAGAGACTTAGTGAGTCCTGGTCTCAAAATAAAAAAAAAACGAAAAGGATGTGAAAGCCTTGTTGTGAAAGCTTAATCCCCAGTACCACCACCACCACCACCACCACCCAAGAAAAAAAACATTTAAGATTGAAATAAATCTGAGAAAGATGTGAAGATAGTACCATGGGAGCACTTCTGTGGAGAGGGAGAGTTGAGTCTGATTTATGTGTGTTTTTATTTCTTCATTGTTTTGTTTCACTGAAACTTATTGGTGCCAGACAAGAGCGAAGGGAGAGTTATTATTTAATACCTATTGCTTCCTTTTGCAGATGAGAAGGGTTCTGGGGAGAGATGGTGGTGGTTATGGTTTCACAACTACATAGATACATGTAATACTACCAAACTGCATGCTTACAAATGGTTACTATTACACATTTTATGTCATATGCATCTTGCTATAGAAATGGTGAGGAAAAGGCACAGTTTGGTGGCCCCACTATGAACTTGGCCTGGGGTCCCCTGTTTGAAATGAATAGCGTCAGGAGAGGGAGATAGTGTGGAGAAAAGTGGGGGCAGCTATCCAACAAGGGGGTGCCGTGAGGGGACTGTGTGTTTGGGGACTGGCTAGCAGCCTGTGTGTCTGGATGGCAGGATTCACTGGGGAACCCAGGCAAGCTGAGGCTGCCAAGTCAGGCGAGGCCAGTTGGTGCAGGCCTGGCATCCTGGCTGCAGAGTTGAGCTTGCCTTCTTAGAGTCTGGGAGCCTTGAAGCTTTCTGCTCAGGGCAGTAGCATTGCGAAGGAGCGCTTTTAGATTAATCTCATTAATCCTTCCTGGTGAGCCATTGCCTATTCAGAGCAGTGGGGGTTGAGGCAATCCCTTCTATGGTGAAAATTGTGGCCTAGCAGAAGTTTTAGATACCCTGGTATATGTTAACGGGTTAAGCAGGTTGTTTTTCCATCAGTTTTACAAATGTTTGTTAAGGACCATATATAAATGCCCACAATGTTCTTACTATTCAGTGGGGGTAAGGGGTAAGGTGGAGTTCACAGGTCTCTTCGCTTGGAAAGCCCACAGTCTAGAAACTCCTGTTGCTAAACAAGAAATTCTGCCACCATGTGCCATATGTTCCTTCAGTATGTCACCATGTTCCATGGGAACTAAATGGAGGGAGGAATCCCTGACCTGCTTGGGACACTGGTGAGGGCCCTGAGAAAAGACTACCTAGTGGTTTTCAAGGACAAGCAGGGGTTTTCTAGGCAAAGAAGCAGAGATGAACATACTAAAAGGATGGCCAGTCAAACCTTAGTGTGTCTTATGAATTGTTTAAAATGTATAAATATTCTCTTTTAAAGCTAAACTCTTATTTCATTGGCTTTTAGGTGGTACTGGCAAGAGTGCATGCTTTTGGACCCAACATCTTTTCAAATGTGGAATCCTAGGCCATCATTGGTAAGTTTGTATGCTATCTTCTTACCAAATTGTGCTATCAAGGATTGGTATTTGCAATGAAGGACAAGGTAGCTATCATTAGCAAGTGCTCTGTGGAGGTTACTGGGCCCTGGAGAAGCCTGTAGTATGGGCTGGAAGGTTAAACAGGGGAAGTAGAGTCTCACTGTAGGTTTCTGTGGTACATGCAGAGATGGAAGCAAGAGAAGAACTCAGGGTCCAGGGATGGGTGCAGCTGTTTTGAAGGAAACCATAGATTGCAAAAGTCGTAGGAAAGTAAAGTAAGATTTTCTGTGCTTGAGAACATGGGTATAACATGTAACAAAAGTGGGTGCAGCAGGCCCACAGGAGCAAAAGCTTCACCCACAGGACTCACGGGCAACAGTAGGGTGTTTCCTGGGGTATTCTGACTTCTGATTAATCTGGCTCAGGGTCAGCAAACTTTCTGTAAAGGACCACATGCTAAATGTTTTTGGCTTCATAGGCCATGTGACCTCACAGTTACTATGAAAACAGCCATAGATGATACATAAATGAATGGGTATGCCTGTGTTCCAAGAAAACTTCATTTACAGAAACAGGTGGTGGGCTTGATTTGACCTGTGGTCTACAGTTTGCCCACTCCTTTTCTAAATACTAAGTGCCAAGGCACTCAGATTTTATCTTGAAGGCAATAAGAATTCATTGAAGTTATTCTGAGCAAAGACATAAGACAACAGTGTTTTAGGAACATTCATCTGCTCGCTGGGCAAGAGGCACCAGACCTTGTTAGAAGGAAGCAGCAACAACCTAGGCATGACTCATGTGGCTAATGAAAGCAAATGACTGGTAGAAGAAATATTGCAAAGGAAGAACCAGTCAGATATTTAGGCTTGTTAGACTTTAAAGACAGGAGTCAAAGAAGGTGAACGTTCAAGCTTGGTGATTTGTGTGGGTATCATTGACAGAAAAATGGATGTTGGGATGGAAAGAGATGGCTGAGGCATCTGGTTCTAGAAATGCTGAATTCAAGGTGACAGTGACTCATTCATGGGAGTGTCCACTAGATGACTGGAAAGGCAGGGCTGAAGCCTGGACTGAGAAGATGAAGTATGGAGATGTAGAATGGAAGCTGTAATTTAAAGTCCTCCCCAGGATGAGCAGAGGGCTGAGCCCTGGGGAAACTGCCTGACTTTGGGATGAGAGGAAGGAGGTAGAAGAGCCCTAGGGCCGTGGAGAACCGAATCCCAGCCATGGAAGATGACGGGGTAGCTAAAGAATGGAGATGTCCCTAAAATAGACCACACTCATGGAGAGCTTGGGTAGCCAAAGAAGGGAAACCAGTAAGATCTAGGTATTTGCATGTCAGAATAAGCTTTTCTTTAGCTTTGAGACAGGCAAAGCAAGCTGTGACCAGTCCTCATGCCTTCTTTGGAGCCAAGTTGTGTTTGGAGTTCGTGTGTACACTGGGCTTGTGATTGTGTTCTTAGGCGCCCCTGGAGGTGTGGTGTTCATAACTCCGCCACATCTTGCGCCACAGAATCCAACCCATTTTGGACTTTTGCCATGAGACAAGATGCATTCCTTTGGGGAAATAGTTCCATATGCATAAACTGGAGGAGACAATGGAGTGGACCAAATATTGAAATAAACTTATTATAGAGTCTGTACATGTGTGGGGGATTTGAGACAGTTCCTCAAATCATTCAACTACCTATCAATTCTTGATCTGAGTATTTCAAATGTACATTCTGTGGTTTGAATTCTAAATAGCTTTTTACTTGGTTTCTATAAATGTAGCAATTAGAGGTCTAACAATAAAAGCAACAGGTGTAGCCAGCACAGTGGCATATACCTGTGGTCCCAGCTACTTGGGAGGCTAAGAGAGAGGATTGCAAGTTCGAGGCCAGCCAGGGTAACTCAGCAAGACTCTGTCCTAAACTGAAAAATAAAAGGAGGGCTGGGGGATGTTGTTCACTTGTAGACCATGTGCCTAGCATGCATGAATCCCTGGGTTCAATCCCACAGAAGTGGGGGGTGGGGGGAAGCAGTAGGTATAACTGTTCAGCCACCATTGATTGCACACTTATTGGGCACTGAGCACAGTGGTAAGTACTCTGTGTGCATCATTTCATTCATCTTTGCAACTACTTACATGGGAGATTTAGTACTTCCATTTAGCCATAAGGAAATCAAGTCATTAAGAGGCCAAACAACCTGCCCTAGGTTACAGGGGATTTGAACCCAGCATATATGACCCCTGGTTTATCCTGTTCCCTGTTTTCTCTCACTTATGTTTGGAATTTCTCCTTCTACTTATGTAGAGGTAGATTGACCCTTTAGGTTAATTATTAAAAGTCTCTAGTGGTTGTTTCCACCTCTTAGGAGTCTATTAAAAGGGTGAAAGAAATTTGAGAAGTCTCAGAGCAAACCTTATACAATTAATGTAACTGTTTCCCCTGTAAAATTGTCCTTTAGTTTTTGGAGAAGGTGGCAGCCTTGGACTTGGACAGGTAATAGCACTTGAAAGCAAGGGGCAGGTTCCGGTACCAGCTCTAAGGCAACTGTAATGTAATTTTTCTCTAAATGCATGGTATTTTTCTTTGCTGACCTCCAACCTCAAGCCTCAAAAGCCAGGCTCCATCTTGTCTTCTGACTGTATCCCCAATGCCTAGGACAGAATCTGGAGTGTGGTCTGTTTTATGCTTAGTAATTGTCTGTTGTTCCACATGAACCAGGTGACTTGGGATGCAGTGCATCCATAGCTTCTGTGTGCCGGGCACTGCGCTTGGCACCATTGTTACAGAGGTGACACAAGACAAAGTCTCCGTCATTGTGAGGCAGGTGTTCCAGATAGACTAGATGTATAATGTGACGTCAGGCACGGACACGTTGGGAAGGAAAGTGAGGTCAGGGGTGGAGAATGTGAGGCTGATAGATTAGGTAGCTGATCAGAAAAGGCCTCTCAGGCAGAGCGAGTGAGATGTGAGCCTGTCAAGGGAAACTGTGACAGTGCTCTTGGGTGCCACTACCGACTTGTCTGCTCAGCCCTTCTTTGCATTTCTGTGCCTGGCTGCCACTGCCTGCTGCCCCTGCAGGAACGGCTGCCTCCTGAGGGCTCAGGGCTGGCTGCTGAGCATTCCCTTCCTGGTCACCTGCTCTGTTGTCTCCTGGTTCCTGCAAGCCTCCCAGGCCTCTGCAGCCTGCTTTCCCTGTGCTCCTTTCTTTGTCCTTAGCTTTGGTTTTGCCTTATGCCTTTCTTGTCATCCCTGGTGTTCTCCGCAGTGAACACATCTATTTCTCCTTTGTCCTGAAATTCCCAGATCTCCCTCTCCACAGAACCTCACCCAGCCTGCCCTCCTACCCTGGTGCACCTCCGACTCCGCCCTGCTGTGGGCAGGCTGCTTTGCTCCCTATGGTACCACTGGTCTATCGCTTCAGGAATCATCCTTGGCTTGTCCTTTCCCTCAGCTTTCATATGCCGCTGGCTAACACGGCTTAAGCAACCCATCTTCTGATTTGTCAACTCACTTTTTTTCTCTTCTCTCATTCCTGTATTTGGGAGTCATCACTTGGATTTTTTTGACAACAGCCTCTTAATTGGTATCCTGCCCATCTTCTCCCTCGTTCCCTCCGCATGCTCTTGTCTGCAAGATGCTTCTAACTCCCAAATCTCAGGATGATTTGCTTCTGCTTAAAACTCTCCACTGGCCCCTCAGTGCTCTCAGGAGGAAAGTCAAGCCCCTCAGGGAGCCTGTGGTCCTCCCATAACCTGGCCCATGGTCCCCTTCCTCATTCTGCCTTTTCTCAAGCCTCTATTTTCTACCTCAGCCCAGCCAGCACCAGCCCCAACCCTGGGACCTTTGCCAGTGCTGGGTCATCTCCTAGGAATGACCTGAGCCCTGCTGCCCAACGAGGTGGCACTGTTCCATTTTCCCCTTGCTCTCCCCGGTACCCCTCCCTCTACGAACCTCCATACACCCAACCTCTCTCTGTGACCTGGAAGTGACCTTCCTCCTGCCTCCCAGAACAACCTGCGTGGGTCTCTTTGCAAAGCACCTATCAGAGGAGCTGTTGACTTACTTATCAGTTAAGCTCAGTAAACTGAGCTCCTTAGGGTGGAGAACACACACACACACACACACACACACACACACACACACACACTCACAATCTGTGCTCCCGGTGCCAGCACAGTGCACCTGGCTCGTGAAGTGTTTGCTAAGTGAGTGAAGATAGCAAAGGCTGTTCGTGCAGCCAAACAACAGATTTATAATGTGACCAAATATACTTGGGATTGGGGGTTCACTGGCCATCGAGTTTGGTGAGGCCAGCACACTACTCAGGTCTGAGTGCAGGAGAGGTGGTTCTAGGCTTGAATTTGTGGCTACCTGTTGTGTGTCTCAGTGCACTGGGACCTCAGGTACTTCACCTTTCTATATTTTTTTGCCTCTGACTTTTAATTTTCAATTAATTTAATTTTTTGCTCTTGCTGATGGATTAATAATTGTAATTGAAAATGTAAAATAATCCATGAAGGGATTCTCAGGAATAAGGTCCACTCACAGTCCAGGTGAGAATGCTGGTGCTTTGGGCTGGAGGATAAGGGGCTCTCATGGTTCTCTATGGAAATAGATGCAAAGGGCATTTTTATTTTCACTTGGGACCTTGTAACATCCCCAGTGAATGTGTACTGAGTAACTGAATGGGAAGAGGCTCTGACGCGGGGATCGCAGATCCACATCCCCAGTGGGAACCAGCACAGTGCAGGAGTCTATAGCAAATACATTCTGTTTTTATCTGGGCTGTCAGTGTGATACCTATGGTCTTCATTTCCTGGTTCTGCCACTGAACTGGGAAGTTGTGGCAAGAATGCAGCTTTTATTTGGGGGCTCACAGTAGGCTGGAAACATTTCTCTCAAGAGCCCTTCTGAGCACAGAGCTGCAACCAGGGTGCCCCAGCAGGCTCACGGAACTGCTTTCCTTGCCTGCAAATGCATATGAAGCGGCCTTCTTGTGCAGGG